ATAGAGCTTTTGTTGAATGTGGTAATTGAAGAATAATCAGGGATAAAAGAAAACCAAAGCTTAGAGGCTACCAGGAACATGTGATGATAGTACCAAGTAGCACCTTTTTATAAGAATTTTAAGCATAATTAGGCAAAGGCAGCCATGTCTTTCCTAAATGTTATCATAAGGAAGGGAGTAAAATTAGGCAGCATGCAATTGTGATTTCAGGGAAGGTAGAGTCCAGAAGCTTAGTCATTAGCCTCTTCCTGTTCTTATTTTATTCCCAGAGGCATTTAAAGTTGTCAAGCTTCTTTTTAAAAATTAGTCTCGTAAGCTTATTTACTGTTGCTATTTTATATTTTTGCTCTTCGTGCCTAGTGATAGAACACTTCCAACCTTTAAGCTCTTGTGATATCATAAGGTGAATTGTATTCTCTCAGGCAAGAGTGCAGATTTATGTATTGCCACGTGTTTGCGGTTTGAGTGTTCACAGGTCAATTGTTGGATTTCTTTTTTTTTACTTGTGATTTGATTTCAGGAAAAGGAGAAGGAACGGCAATGAAGAGGACAACCATCTCCCCCCCCAGACCAAAAGGAGTAGTCGGAACCCTGTCTTTCAAGATTCCTGGGACACAGAGGTAGGATAGAGTCTAGTTCATTCGATGCCTGAGATAAATAAATCCATTTCTGTTGTGCAACTAATAGAAATTTATTCAAAGAATAAATAAGTGATCTAACTCGATTACAGTGGTTTTTAACTTTATTATTATTTTTTTCTGAGTCACAGCCCCTTTGAGGAACTTGTCAACCCTCTCCCTCAGTAAAACGGTACATGCAATCAGGACGCACTGATAATTACTTGTGACTGGAATGCAAAATGCCTTCAAGTCCATTCTGACTCATAGCGATCTTATAGAGCAGGGTAGAACTGCCCCATAGGGTTTCCAAGGCTGTAAGTCTTTACCGAAGCAGACTGCCACGTCTTTCTCCCATGGAGCAGCTGGTGGGTTCAAACTGATCTTTTGGTTAGCAGCTGAGCATGTAAACACTGCACCACCAGGGTTCCTTTTCTCGTACACATACACACCCCAAAATTGGTATTTGTTAGAAGCTTCATGAACCTTTGAAAAACCTTTCTTTAACCCCCTTATTTTATATTTCAGAAACCAACTTACTTTCTAATAGTTTTAAAAACCATTCATTGTCCTTAAGACAAGTATATTTGGTTGCTTCAATTCACATATCTTTAACTGAAAACTGAGAGAAATTTTGAGTATGAAGAATATATATGTGTTTGCAAAAACCCGTTTTGAAATGTTTTTACTATTTCATTCATGTTCTTCTAAAACGGTCTGTGGGTGAGGGGCAGGGGTTGCGAAGGTCTCCCAGCATTTTCTGTAATTTTTGATTTTCTGAAAAAGTGCATCAGTGTACACACGTGCTGGAGAGAATTTTTCCATGTGATCAGAAGGCTGTTCTACAGATGGGACAGGAAGCCGACACTAAGGTGATGCTGCTGTTAAATCACGCACCTAAAGGTTTCGACCCTTAGCAGTGAAGGGCCAGTCTTCTTAAGACGGTGCTTGTCACCCTAACAGAAACGCCTCAGTGTCAAAAATACCTACGCTCTAGCCTCAGAATTTCAAACATTATTCTGTATTTCACAGTTCTTGCACAACCACAGTAACTTGTACTTTAATTGATAATAGGATTTGACCTATGTCCAGTCTTCTACCAGAAATCCAAAGTAACCTCCCCGAGGGGAGAACATCGGTAACTCTCAATTAGGTAATGGTCGTTAGTGACAATTAACGAACAACTGCAGCTTAGAATCCTTTAGTGTGGAGACTTGAATTTCTATAGCTCTCCCCCCCGCTCCCCCGCCTTTAAGATCTTGCTACCCTGCCTTTCTTTTTTATGATCAACAGAAAAGTAATTGAGGTTTTGTTTAACGTAATAATTGGAGAATCCTCAGGGAAGGAAGAAACCCAAAGATTAGAGGCTCCCTTATCTAATGATAAAACTGTAATAGTAACTGAGTTTC